GCTGTCATGTGGTCGCGCGGAGGCATCCGCAATTACACGGGAATGTTTTCCTAGAGATGTCAGCCTACAAAGGACACAATCTCTCTTCCTCAAATTCCGCCCCAAAATGTCCTTTCCCAACAGCTCTCCTGCCGCTAATACTTTTTTAGTAGATTCTCTCATCAGTGCGTGCAGGAGTGACAGTTTCTACTCCAACAGCGCCAGCATGTATATGCCACCTAGCACAGACATTGGGACGTATGGGATGCAAACCTGTGGACTCCTTCCGTCTCTGGCTAAAAGAGAAGTTAATCACCAAAATATGGGTATGAATGTACATCCTTATATACCTCAAGTAGACACTTGGACAGACCCGAACAGATCTTGTCGAATAGAGCAACCTGTTACACAGCAGGTCCCCACTTGTTCCTTCACTACAAATATTAAAGAAGAAAGCAATTGCTGCATGTATTCCGATAAGAGATCCAAACTCATTTCTGCAGACGTCCCTTCCTACCAGAGGCTGGTGTCTGAATCATGCCCCATTGAGAACCCCGAGGTTCCCGTCCCAGGATATTTTAGACTGAGCCAGACCTACGCCACTGGGAAAACCCAAGAGTACAATAATAGCCCTGAAACGAGTTCAACTGTAATGTTACAGTTAAACCCTCGCGGCAGCTCCAAACCGCAGATATCTGCTCAACTTCAGCTGGAAAAGAAAATGAATGAAAACCCGAACAACCAAGACAGCACCGCTAAAGTCTCTCAAGTGGAAAGTCCCGAGCCCAAGTCCACGTTGCAAGACGAGCGGAGCTGCCTGCCCGAAGGCTCCGTGTCCAGCCCAGAAGTCCAGGAGAAGGAGAGTAAAGGTCTGTATTACCGAGTTTAAGCCGTGCCGTGGTGTAACTCCAACACGCCAGCACCATAAAGCACGCTCGAATATACTAACGAGCATCACAGCCATCACATTTAATGCTAAGGAGTATTGGGCTGCAGGTGCTGTGTCTCTGAAGATTTTGGCAGGCAAAAATGCTACACAAAAGGGTCCAAAGATTTTCTGTAAGAGATCTGCCTCTCTCGTGCATGCAGACCGCCTCTGTGATGCGGGGAATATAGCCGTGTGCTCCTTAATGCGCTGCAGCAGCCAAAAGCAGCCCCATACCTCTAAAAAAGCAGGTCTGGAGGTTGTAAAATACGACCAGCTCAACTTTTCTCTCGTAATATTTCGCTGATTTTTTTTTTTTCCTCACTGAGCCTTACTGCGGTTTGATTGCATTTAAAGTTAATTACGATCCTATTAAAATAGGTGAGGAATAGGTGCTACCAGGCTGGGTAAAGTTGGAAACAAATGCACAATGAAAGCAGCAGCCCGCTATCCGCCTGGTCCAAAGGTGGAATATTTCAGTGTGGTGCTTTAGATAACCTTGGGTTGGTCTCCAAAAGTGCAACAGTATTTTGAAATGCGTTTGAAAGCTGAAGGTGGTGGTAATCTGATTTTATTTCCCCTTTAAAAGTGCACTAAAGCCTTCCTTTCGAACGGCGTGTGTCGAAGAATCCCAAAACGGGAAATTTTCTCCTATCAAAATGTACTTTGCAACCTCTAGGTCGATTTTTACCCTACGTGTGCATGGAGATTCTTTTTGTCTGAATTATATTTAACAGCCCAGGTTCTAGGTTGATGTGGGGCAGATTTCTTTCTGGCGGGGAAAAAAACAAAAAACTACTAAAAGGAAAATAAAAAAAAAAAAGAAAAGAAAAGAAAAGAAAAAATCCGAGACAGAGGGTGTTAATTTCTTGTGTATCTTTTTGGCTGGGAAAACGTCTGTGTCTGCTCCTAGGTGTGCTGGTGTAATTCAGCTGATGGCTGGGGGGAAGCTGCTTCGAAATAGAGCGCGAGGGTATTTTGTAACTGGGATATTTTCGTAGCAAGTGTCGTGGGAGCCCGAGGCGTCCATGGCGAGGCTAGACCCGTTAAAATGTGGCCACGGGGCTGATGGCAGGCTAAATATTGTTGAAACGCTAAACGCCAGCTGAAAACTGGAGAGCCCATTTCTGGATGGGGCAGGAGAGCGGGGCGGCCGCAAGGCAGGGTGCGAGGGGACGGGGGAGCCCAGCTTGGCAGCAGGTCCCTTCCCTGTGCCCACACCTCACCCGAGCTGTGTTTAATGCCCACATCCACCATATCTGCCAGACACTGCAGAGGAGGGGTCATGGCCAAGGGTACACTCTAACAGCCTGAGGTATTTTTGATTTTTTTTTTCTTCTTCTTCTTTGATTTTGATAGAGGAAATCAAGTCTGATACTCCAACAAGCAATTGGCTAACTGCAAAGAGTGGCAGAAAGAAGAGGTGTCCTTATACTAAACACCAAACACTGGAATTAGAGAAAGAGTTCTTATTCAATATGTATCTCACTCGAGAGCGCCGTCTAGAGATCAGTAAGAGCGTAAACCTCACTGACAGGCAGGTCAAGATTTGGTTTCAAAACCGCAGAATGAAGCTCAAGAAGATGAGCAGGGAGAACCGAATCCGGGAACTGACCGCTAATCTGACCTTCTCTTAAACCCTAACCCCGGGGGGGGCACCAGTGAGGAACGGGCACAGCACCGCCACTTGCTAAAGGCAGGAGAGACTCTGGCAAAACCCGGCGTTTTCCAGTTTGGTTTTGGGTTTTTTTTTCTGATAGAATGTGACTCTTCGTCCTTCTTTTAGCGCTGCAAGTGAATATGTATTACTATGATGAGTATATATAAAACCTAGCACGTGTAATTTATTTTTGTTCTCATCGTAATGCAGGGTAACTATTATTGAATATTATCATTTGGTCTTAACTTATTGGAACTGTCGAACATCCAAGCAATGTGACTTTTTCATGTTTTTACTAACAAAATGGTATTTATGTGGGGCTGTTACACGGTAACTTTGGGGGCGGGGGGAAAGAGAAGCACATTATAATGTAACTATCCTCGCAAATGAACTTAGAGATTGTCCTTCGTAAAATGGAATATTTCCTTCTTCTCCATTGTAGACATTTCCTTGTGGTGCATATGTGGAATAGTAGTCGTTCAGCAGCAATATGTCCTTCTTGTGCATGTTCTGTTCGCATGTATAATGCAATAAACTCTGTAAACTACTGCGGTTCCTTTGGTTTTCTACAAATGTTTGAAGTACGGATGCAGGTTGGTCTCCTGACCTTTCTCTATCAGCAGCTCTTTGGACTGATGTACCTTCTTTGCCATTTTCTGGTCTTTGTGTGTGTCTGCCTGGTTTTCTTCCTTTCTTTTTCACCCCTTTCTTCCCCCCCCCCTTCCTTTTTTTAGGGGTGGGGTGGAGACTGGGGCGGGAAATGATGTAAACCTAATTCATTTATAATTGTGCCTGTAAACAAACGATTAATTGATAAAATGTTGTGTGATGTTCGCAGTCTGACAAACTGAACGCAAAAAAAAAAAGAGGGAAAGGAAAAAAAAAAAAAAAAAAGAAAAACGTAGTAAAATATTATGACCTAAACTGGACATCCTCATCCAATCAACTCATAAATGGTAAGTGATAAAAAATCTTTCTACTACAAGCTGTCAGCAATATGTGTGTCATTTTATTTGACGTTCGTATGTTGATTTAAAAAATATCAGTCACTGCGTGCTTACCATGTGTAGACTTTGATTTCGTGTCTTTACTGGCTTAAAAAAAACAATCATACCAAATGCGAAGCTGGGTATAAGTAAATGTTCAGTTCTTGGTCAGCTCAAGAGCTTTCAGAAGATGGTGGATGGGGAAATATTCCCTCAAACATCTGGCAAGACTGGCGTTTTTGAGCAGAAAGGCTCCCAAGCGTCCTTACAAAAGTACACCAGCCTCTTCAGACCCACTTTTGTCACCCTGCACCGTTTCTGTTTGCTCAGAGATCGTTTTATTTCGCGCAAATCCATTTGAGTAGCACACATCCAGATACTGAAGTTCACGACTCTTAACCGTTTCTGTACATAAATGAAAAATGTTACTAGCAAGGCTCTGCACTGGAAGCTGAGGAAGGGCGTGTGTGTGTGTGAGAGCGGGTGGGTGCCTGTGCGAGCAGAAATACTCAGCAGAACTGCAAATGGCTTGCAAATGAACATGACTCCAAATTGAAGTGCAAATACTTGGGCATACTTTCACCTTCAAACAGTACTGGAAAAATAGCGTGGCTACTGTTTGCGCTGGGAAACCAGCTTGCTCACGATCAACGCCCATTCCTCCCCTAAGCAGTTTCTAAATCAAGAAATGAAACGCAAGATAGTGCCAATGCTGTCTGACTTGGTGACACTGACACTGCTCCTATTGCAGCTGGTGGCGTTGTATTTCGCTCTCTTGTCGCTGATATTTAATTTAAGCCAATACTTTCTCATGTGCATGTTTACTCGTAGGGCAGAGGTATATTTTCCTCAAACCAAAGCATCACCATTTTGGAGCTGTGGGAGCCGCAAGCACGTAGGTATTTTGTGCTTGCTCTCGTTTCGAAAACAAACAACAAAACGGTGCTCAAACCCCCCCCTCTTTAAATATTGCATACGTTTGAACCGTCTTTTCTTTTCCTTTAAAGATACTCGCTACATCACCAAAGAAGTTTCAGCAGTGGGAAGTAATTAGCTGGCTCCATACCAAGTGTTTAACGTATAGAAAAAAGGAGGCTCACTCTAATCTGTCTGCTTTATCAATTTATATCTGTGTGAAGCGAGGGGCAATTCTTCGCCGTACCACAAACCCTGCTTCTAGAGAAAAATAGAAGTATGAAAACGCAAAGGAAAATACTAAAGCGAGACGACCAAAAAACCACAAAAAACCAACCACCCACTTTAAAAAAAAAGGGAAAGAAAAAAAAAAAGAAGAAAAAAGGAAGAAAACAACCTAAGAGAGTAATAAATCATTAAATAAACAGGAATTTCAGTCCCTTCCTCATACCGGCCCGCGAGTAGGAAGTGTTTTCTCAGTGCTGTTGTTTGTGCCCTCGGCGGGCTGTGCTGCGGGCTCTCCACTAACTGTGTGCGTTTCCTCCAGATCCCGACACAGCCACCGTCCCTCGCTCGGGAGAGCAGGCATGGGCAGAAGACCATGGGTAACCTAGTTTTCAATACTAACCGGGCACCGTTTCGCTCGGGGAAGGATAACCGGGCCGGGGAGGGAGAGGAGGGGAGGCAGGGAAGGAAAAGAAAGCAAAGCGGGCAAAAATCTCACGTAGGCATTGAACGTGGCCACCGCGGCCCGGCCCGGCTCCCCCTGAACTAGGAGCGGA